AAAAAAAAAAAAAAAAATCGCAACGTGGCAACGGCTAAGAGTTACTGAACTGCTTTACTTAACTTTTTTTTATTTTTTTATTCTTACATAATGTATTCTCTCTTCCCAGTGCCTAAGAAGCTTCGTGTAACTCAAATATTTTGCAATATGAAAGATATAAGGCAACGAGAAATCAGATGATAAGGTTGGTATCATAAATAAATAAACCGTAAATAAATATGATACATGATAAAAAAGAAACAAAACAAAAAAAAAAAAAACAAGCAATGGCGTTTTCTTCCTTATTCTTGGTCTTTCTTTTCTTCTTCTTTTTTCCCCTTGATTTTTAATGTTTGATGAAAATACTACGAGAACCCCTATAGGCAGTGAGGCAAAAGTTCGGTCCCGGTGAACGCTCTCTCCCACACACGATGTTGCCTTCGGACGTCCATCTATAATCGCCTTCCCTTAGCTTACATAAATAGATAAATAGATAAATAAAAGATTGACGACTTCCTTCCTCCCCCCCCCAATAACCCCCATTCCTCCATCTAAATCCTCTCCAGCCCACGTTATCCCATGGAGGATGAGCTATTACCCATACCTCCATACTTCGAGGACAACTTGGGGACTTCTTAGATAGCCCCTTCTCCAACCTCATCTACATACCCACTGGAGGATAGCTTCTGCCATACCCCCTCTACCCCTTCCTACACCCCCTCCCCCTTCCATGTCACTCTGGAGGATGACCTATACCTTACCCTTACGATACCCTGCAATAGGACCTTCCCCCTCATACGCCCATTCCTCCGTACCCCTCTTAAAGGACGACCTCTGTTCCCCCTCTCCCCCTGTAGGTACCCTGGAGGACGACCTCTGCTCACCCTCTCCCTTCCGAAGTTACCCTGGAGTACGACCTCCACCCTTGTCCCTTTCCACCCCCCCCCCCCTTGCATCTTGCAATACGACTTCCTCCTCGCCAGTCCTCCCATTCCCTTGCCCTTCACGGCACCCTGAAGGACGACCTCCCCTTCATATCCCCCCCCCCCCATCCCACTTACCCTCCCACCCATAGCACCCATAAGGACTCCCCCCCCCCCCATAGCACCCATAAGGACTCCTCCCTCCCCCCCCTCCCCCACTCCCATTCTCCCTCCCTCTTCCCACGCCATCCTCCTCCTCCTCCTCCCTCCTTCGTCATACTCCCAGCCTCCCGCCCACCCCCTTGTCCTTTACCACTGGAGGACGACCTCGAGGGAGACTCACCTCGCACTTCTCCGCCAGGACGAGAACCACCACCAGTGACGTCACCGCTGTACCCACCAGGAACACTCCGATTGATCCGGCGAATCTGTTGACAAGAAATACAAATCAGATTTGCATGTAAATCCGACTGTAAAAACTAAAAACTAAAAACTAAAAAAAAAAAAAAAAAAAAAAAAAAGACAGAAAAGAAAAAAAATGGAGGGGTGGGTGGGTGGGTAGGGGGGGGTGATATTATGAGGCACTCCATACAACACGTTTCATTAGCTTGTATGAATTATTCACGTTTATTAGGTAACTTCATTTTGGAACTTCATAAAAAAAATGGGGATTTTCAAATGGGATTATAGTACGCGAATGAACTAAATCATATTCCGTCGATATTTATTGCCCCCCCCCCCCCCTAAAAAAAATACAGACATGAGAGAGCCCTGATAAACATAAAGACATGCAACGGGGAAAATATGCACATTCAACATGCGCTCATACATACAGTAGTGTTAAAATATACAAATAAGTACATGAATTGAAAACGAACAAAAATGTTCGACGAACAAGGGAATCTTTTATTTACAATTGAGGCTTTTTGTAGACTTTGAATTATATATCTATATCTATCTATATATCTATTTATAAGTATATATATATATATATATATATATATATATATATATATATATATATATATATATATATATACATATATATATACATATACATGTGTGTGTGTGTGTGTGTGTGTGTGTGTGTGTGTGTGTGTGTGTGTGTGTGTGTGTGTGTGTGTGTGTGTGTGTGTCTGCGTGTGTGTGTCTGCGTGAGTGTGTGTGTCTGCGTGAGTGTGTGTCAGTGCGTTCGCGTGTGAGTGTGTACATACGTATCGCCACGCTGTACACAACCTCCAGGTGAACAATGGGCAATGTGCCATACAGTCACGGTTCCCGACACATTCCCGAAGCCACACGAAAGCGCGCCGTGAGCCCGCATGCGCAAGTTTTGTGATTTTGAAGGGATCTAATTTCACGGCCCAACGGCGCATCACGACGCTGTAATCGAAATCCTGACCACTTTATCGTTCTGGGGCTCCAAATATACATCGAAACATGACCTCAAAATTCCGTGCATTAGGCATTGTGTCCCATGTATACACCTACATACTTTTATATATCACCACGCGCACGCACACACACACATACACACACACACACACACACACACACACACACACACACACACACACACACACACACACACACACACA